TCTTAAAACATAATTTGTGCCTGGAAGGAAGTTATACTAAATTTGATGATTGATTGATTTGAATGATTTAATCATGACTGGTCAACCCAAATGCAATCACGCAGTAAACATGAGATTTCTTTAGCAGACCACACAGCTGCAAGAAAAACATCTGCAGAAAACTAGCAAGGATTGTAGCAACTTGTTGCAAACAAACACAACGAGGTGCAAGTTTGTGCTGAAGAAAGTATTTAGCAAGAGTCAGAATAAACAGCCCACTTCATTTGAACTATTTGATAGTTTACTTCAAAATGCAGTGATTTGTTTCTTCACATGTCATAACTTTTAAGAGCTTCTAATGTGCCAAAAATGCTGTTTACATTCCAACAGAGAGTATTAGAGAGTAAAAAGCACAATAACACTGTCAGGTTTATTACAATGAAATAGGAAGTGTTAAATTTAAAAGAACACAAGTTGAAAGTTAGAATAAAGAGCAGGTTGAACTTGAGAATCACCTTTTGCAATGGGAGATAAATCAGTATAGGCCTCCTTTATCATGGTATGTGTAATTTTAAATTGCAATATCCATATATAATGTGATATTGTTAATTTCCTGGAAATATTTCTTAAAAACCCTTGAAATAACAAGACAAGAATGTCTGATTTTGGTAACTGACAAATCAAGGTACCTCCTGCAATTTATGTAAAATCAAATAAATGGCGTGGAGTAGCATAATGAACAAAAACATGTTCAACAGGTTTAAACACAGTTGGTGCACCTAGCTAAAACTAATGCAGTCAAGTACAACAATCCTGCAATAAATCTTACTCTCATGAAGGTTAAAATGTTCTTTTACTGAAACTTTAGAGAGGTGTTGATTCAACTCTTCGGACGTTTTGGAGGCTGTGATTTGTGGTGCTGTTGAACGGTATTGCATTATACTGAGAGGTGTTTCTAACATTTTGACTTATTTATATAATGAGGGTATAGCACAAACTAAAGCATCCAAAAGAACTGAACATTACAAACTTTGTGAAGATCATATTCATTGCTTTTGTACTGAATCGCATTCATCATTTTTAGCTAGGTGTACCTAATAAAATGTTAACTGAGCGCATACTAGAGCCATAAGGTATACAAGTTCTAAAAAAAGGTTTACAACAGTGAAGTTGGTTTCCGATTCGGCAGTTAAGGGGAAAGTTACATTTGGTCCAGATTTAAAAAAACACTATGTCTAGCTAAAGTTGTCAAATCTGCACTAGAATTAAGAGTTTCAGATTTTTGAAGCCTTTATTCTATTTGTGAAAATGCAAATATTTATGGGTTTTTTTTGCATCGAGACCACATTAGAACAAATCCAGATCAAAATCACTCTGGCTACAGCTGTCAAATGTAAACTAGATTATTCCAGAGACAGTTTTCTTTAAAACACAGTTTCACATTTGTGAAACCTTTATTCTATTTGTGAAGATTAAAAAGGGTGATTTATATTTTTTTTTTTAAACATGTAGACTACATTAGACCAGATCCAGATTAAAAAACACTGTGCCTAGAGCTGTCAAATATGTACTAGAATGTCCAGAAAGTTTTAAATATAGTTTCCTTTTGTGACAATGAAAAAAGGGTGATTCATATAGTCTAAAAAAACATATGCATCTCCTCTTTTCTAAAGGTTTAACAAAACTGAAACGATGTTTTAAAGAAACTTTATCCTCTCTGGGACATTGTATTGCAGATTTGAGAGCTCTAGGCATGGTGTTTTTTGATCTGGATCTGGTCTAATATGGTCTACACGTAAAAATAAGAACATATAAATCGCCCTTTTTTTCTGGACCCGAGTTTCCTTCAACTTTTCCCTTAATTGCCGAATCGGGAAGCCAACTTCAGCCTCGTAAAAGGTTCCAGGTTCCGATGTTTCAGTGGTAAAAGGCCCGCATGCTGCAGACGGCCCCTGTGGGTTTATGTGTCTCACCTGTAAGAAAGTGGAAAGTCTCCGTCTCCTCCGCGGTGTGAGCGAGGTCGCTGTATGACAGTGTGTTGCTTTCTTTCCCGGAGCCGTTGTTGAATGAGGACAGAGCCAGGTGTTGGACAAACAGCTCCTTCAACAGTAACGTTACAAGACAAGTCAGCAAAGAACAGATTCACAGCAAGTGGGCAGACAAGCTCAAACGGAAACCGAAACCGCTCCATTTACAGTTATCCCAGAAGCTAACAGCGAGCTAATCCCTGTTAGCAGCGGCAGCAGCAGATGCACGGGCTGATGAGTTAGCAGTGAACCTGTATGTAAGAAGTGAACCGATAATTTAACTTACTGTCGCCTTGGTGGTGAGGAAAAGAGCGTCCTGGTTGATGCTGGACACGTCCGGTGAGCTCTTCATGATCAACCTCACTCTGGAAATTGGAAGAGAGATGGCTTTTTTGTCGGTGGACGTTTGGTCGTCTTTCTCGGGATTATTTTGAGACATCTTCATGAGGAAGCGGCGCCAGACAGGCGGAACTTGATGTATTGTTTTGAACGGTGACGCGTTTCTTTTTCATGTTCAAATTAACAGCAGTTGGCGGGCTTAGCTGTGGAGGTGCGCTACCTGCTGGCGTGGAGGCGCTGCACGTGAAAACGACTTTGTGTGTCATCAAAAATATTCTAATATTTTAATTATTGTCTTGTTTCCTAACTTAACTGGCATTGTTTCAGTGTGGTCTAAACCACACTGTTTTGAAAATCAGATTCATTCTTTGTTATTGTGGTGTCCGAACAATAATGCTCATAAAGGTTTATTAAATCAAGGAGTTCCAGCATCAATTACAAGCTCTGCAGTAGCTTGGAGAGTGACCCAGCCCGATGGCCACTCTGTCTCTATGTACATCAAACAAAGCTTATATAGGATATGTTTAGGTCTCTGTTAGGTACCATAGAAGGGTTTGAGTCTGCAAAATAAAAGGTCAAACCCATAGAAGGGTACAGTACTATCTTGAGGTAACAAAACAAGGGGTTAGAGGTCAAATTCTATAGAAGGGTTCAGTCCCTACATAACCACCAATCACTGCTCTCCCCGTAGAAGGTCACTGACCCTCTGTCCTGCTGCTACAGTGCTATTTTGAACTGTTATGAGTCAAATACATAAATATTGGATACTACATTATCCTAAAAAAAAACAACCTTCAGCATAGATAACACACACATACTAGGCCTACACATAATACACATACACACACATATCTACACATTACACAGGAGTGGCATCGGGAAATTGGCTGTGAATTTAATGCTTTTATGGCACAGGGTACAAAACCAATCCCAATAGTACAAAAATCAAAATCAATGGTTTCACTCAACATGCAATGTTTTACCTTTCCAATAAAGGAACATTATTTTTGTGATCATAAAACAAGACTAAAAGGTCAATTTCCTTGTAAACAAAATGTAGAACTTATAAATCACCTCCTGTTTTTGGAGCTAAAAGTCTTTCCAAAATCAGCATTAAAATTGATTTAGACGTTTAAGTGATTCCTTTGAATATTTCATCCCCTTCCACACATGAATCTTTATTTTCCTTCATTTCACTCTATACAGCACACAGGTGGTGCAGTTATAGTAAAGCAAAAATGAAAAAGCTACAGGAGGAATTTAATGATGCATTCAGAATCTCGCTTAAGCTCCCAAGATGGAAAAGTGCAAGTCATATGTTTGTGACTACTAACTGCAGAATTTCATGTATAATTGTATGTGTCGGCTAATTGAGTCCAAAAATGAAAAAAATATTTGCTTTATGTAAATCATTACTGTCACATTTAGTAATGTCCACTTACTTCTTCTTTTTAGGTCAAAGAGCTCTGACAGTTTGGTATTTTGAACTCAACTGTTTGAGTTTTTGAAAGTTAAACTTGCATTAATTCATTGTGTTTACTAATTGAGATTTTTGTCAGATCTGTATGTTAAAAAAGATAGGTGTGCGGGGATAGGAGCAAGAGAGAACAAATAGTTGCTGCCTCTATTGAGTTTGAGAGAAACTGTCTTCTTTGAACCATGGCAAAGTTGAAACATGGACATAATCAACTAACTATACACTGCTGGTAAGTCATGTATTCAAATTCCAACTGAAATATAGACACTTTTGTGGTAAACAAGCAAGGACCAGTGCCACCAATGGAGGGGCCTTATACATGTAAACTGAAATAAATCTGGAATTCAAATCCTTTTAACTTGAAAGGGAAAATAGTATAAATGTGTTTAAGTTGTTTTAACTGTCAGTTAGAATAATGCAGAAATGTACATTGGTTTTAAGGGAAGTTTATCTTGCACTGATAAAGTAAAATAATTATTTGTTTCAACTCAAAGTATAAAGTTGAAACAAGTTATAAATGTCTACTCAACTTTAAAAAAAACCCAACAACATTAAGAGAACTAGAACACTGTAGTTATATCAACTTTATAAACTTTAATTTGTGAGTTAAAACAAAGGTAATCTTTAAGTTGAGCTAACTTGCATAATGTTTTACAGTGTAACAGAGCCTACACAAAGTGACAAAAGGTATTCCTCTTGATTTTTGGTAAAATTGGAAACAATGTCTGTGCATGTTATAATCCCTGTGGATGGTGAAATATGATTCTGTACATATTTATGTATGTGTCCTTGCATTGTATCTCATTATTTTATTTTTATTTTACTGATATGGACCTTTGTGTCTGAAATAAAGTTGATTGATTGATTCATATGTTATTGGATGTTTTTTTATTAAAATTATCATTTATTTACGGCAGCCAACACAGTAACACAGTATTGCATGCATTGCACAACAAATGTGTAAAATATAGAGTATAATGAAAAGATGTGGGGTTATTTTAATTGTATTTCCCCCAACATATTGGACTGTATCCCGTCATACTGTTTATGTATTAACGCTAAGATTATATTGTGTCCCCATTGTGTCCCCATTGTGTCCCCATTGTGTCCCAGCTCCGTAGCTGGTTGAGCTGCGGGCGCAGTCTCCTCCAGTCCAGTGGTGGCGCTTTTCATCCACATAGCAAACCACAGAAGAAGAGCCAATGTCAATAGAGGCAAAGAAGAAGAAACAGTGGCGTTTGCAATGGCGGTGATGTGGCAGCGAAAATAAACAACCCCGGCTGCTATTTGATGCTGTCGTGATTATCGTTGTTCCTCTGATCTCGTAGCTAGTCGTTTATCTGTCTATATCTTCCTCTGTGTTTGTGTCACCTGCGGGAGCCACAGCGGTGTGTTACTGCTGGATATTACACAGTTAGTAGGAGCTGAACGAGCAGCCGCCGTCTCATTGTTGAGTATTGACGGTAATTTCCCTCGTACCCTAGCGTCGTTTTCCGACCACTAACGATGCCACTGGGTTTGAAACCATGCTGTGCTGTCTGCAAGACGAACTCTTCGTCGATGTGGAAGAAGGGAAACCAGGGAGAGATCCTCTGCAACAACTGCACAGGGAAGAGCAGCAGCGGCGGAGCATCGGGACCCACCATGTCCTCCATCATTCAGCCCAGCAATGGCGGAGGAAAGCAGGTCGGTCACTGCCTGTTAATGTGCCCTTTACATTTAATGTTTCTCTTGGGGACTATTTTAAAGGGAACCCCCCTCTCTAAAGTAGAGTTCACATGCCTGTTTGTGGACTTCAATTACAGCCCAGTTTTGTATCATTAAGCCAGGCAAACAGCAATATAACATTGTAATGTGAATAAGTACTTTACGTTATAATAAACGCCCCCGGCGAGTTTAATGGGATATTAAGGATGTTTTACTAAATTTTAATGAATTAAGGATCAATAAAAATGTTTAAATTAGCTAATTCCAGCTTAGCAATGTTGAAATGTGCTGCCTTTTTCTGATTTCTGTATCACTGTGAATCGAAACAAGCACCTGGAAGGCACCAGGACACATTATGATGGACATTTATTATTTTTTCTTATAGTTTATTACCCAATGATCATTTAGCTGCAGCCCAATTAAATGTTGCTACAGGTAAAATGAATGTCAGCTAGGAAAATTGTGCTGAATGCAACTAAGTATCTGGTGTGCAGTCCAAGCAGGAGATCCACAGGAGGTCCGCACGGCTGAGAAGCACCAAGTACAAAGCACCTGCTTCTGAGAAGAAGGTGTCAACAAAAGGAAAGGGGAGAAGACACATATTCAAACTCAAAAATGTAAGTCAAAGATGGATTTAATCAGCAAATTTAGTTGTTTCTCTTCACTATGAGTTCATGTGTTTGACTCCTGTGTGTGTGATCTCTTTCTTTAGCCAATCAAAGCACCAGAATCCGTTGCAACAATCATCACGTCAGAATCCGTATTTTATAAGGTATGGTGTTTATTCTTACCAAGCAAAAATAATCTCATGTAATTGTGGCTTTAATTACTGCACAGTTGTACCAGACCTTCATCCTGTCATACATGTGAGAGAAGGAGCCTCATCCTCTGTTTTGTTTGTACCCACAGGGTGTATACTACCAGACAGGAGATGTGATCAAGGTAACAGATGAGGAAGACGGGAAGCCGTACTATGCTCAGATTCGAGGCTTCGTGCAGGACCAGTACTGTGAAAAGAGTGCTGCCTTGACCTGGTTGATCCCCACAAAGGCCAGCCCAAAGGACCAGTTTGATCCTGGCACATACATCGTTGGTGAGCAATGATAAATGAAAATTGTATTATTTCTACGCCATTTATGTGACAATCTAAGAACTGTCGATTTTGTATCAGGTCCCGAGGAGGATCTGCCCAGAAAGATGGAGTACCTGGAGTTTGTGTGCCACGCCCCCTCTGAATATTTCAAGTCACGGAGCTCTCCGTTTCCCACCATCCCCATTCGACCAGAGAAAGGCTACATCTGGACCCACATAGGACCCACACCAGCGCTCACTGTCAAAGAGTCTGTCAGTGGTAGCAGTTAACAGAACTGTGACATGGACTTAGTCTGTTGCTTTTAAACAGACATATGTACATTTATGTAATATAAAGAAAACAAAAATGGTTGTTAACCACAGCCATTACTTCAGATTGAAGACGGGTTGTAATTTAATACAAAGGAAACATGATGTAGCTGCATTTCAAACAAGTTGTTTGCACAACTGCGACATTGGAATATTACTTTTGTATTTAGTAATAAAAAAAGCTCTTTTTGACCATCCATTTCATCTGTGATTGTTTAAAAAATAGTATTAATGTGTGGCCAGTAGACCAAAATGACTTTTTTTTTTTTACATTTTCACTTTTGTGAATTAAGATGTAAAAGTCTTTATTGTGGCAAAAAAAGAAAATAGATTACAGTAATAGAGACAAAGTGCTAAGTCCCAATGTTGCTTATCTGATGTGTGATGTTCTTGATGACTAATTTACAGCTGAGTTGTGTGATGATGCTTAACAGTGGTGTCTTTGTGCCAGTGCGACTGAGATAAAGATGGAAACATAAAACTGGTGGCGAAGACATTACCTGGGGCACGTTCAATGTCAAAACATTTTGCACCGGTTTACGGGTTGTGTTTCCTAGAAACGGTGCGCAACGGGCTTTGATGTAGCTGTGTTTTCTGTCGTTTGGTGGGTGTGTGAGAGGTCTTACCCAATCAGCAGCGACGTGTATATAAACACAGCCATATTAAAAAGGCAGGTTAAGTGTAGTAAGCTTGCGCGCACACAGGGCGTTCAAGACGCCAGTGTTTCGGTTTTGCTACTACAGGGCAGAATTTAGATCCTACAGATGATAATTAAGATTTGATTGAAACCGACACCCAATATTCATGATTCATATAAACCAGAGTAGTGAGCTATCGGTCTTAAGCAGGGACACATTTGCAAGGTTGCTTGATGGAGTTTTTTTGTTTGTAGATTATCAGATTGCGTCTACTGTCAAACCTGTGTGTAAATGCACACATAAGATACATAATCACAACTGTATGTATAGCTTACAACAAGAAGCTGTCTCTCATTATTAACATTGTGCTGTAGGGTTAAATAGTAAGAAACAGAACATATTGCAGTCTAGTCAGCCGAAGAAGGAAGTGCGCAGGGGTGAAGCCTCTCGCTCTGCGTATATACTCTTTGATAAACCAAACTTTGTGAAGTCCGGTGTGGAAGTGTGGGATAGTCTCCCCTGCAAGCTTGTTGGGGGATGATTGTTTCCTCAAATGTATTTTTTCCCCCCCTAATGGATTGGACATCATGAATACTTCTTGATCACATGACCAGCCAGGAGTATGGGAAAATTCCAGTCCAAACTTGGTGAGTTGTTTTTTTTACACCTCAAATTGTTTTGTTTAAAAAAAAAAAAAGATGGAATCGTTTCTGACTAGTATTATCTTCTCTCTCGTTATTTGGACAGCTTCGAAACGCAGACAGAGTCCGGAGGGTAAGACAGTAAACGCAAATACTGTACAAACAGCACTTTTTACTTATGTTCAAATACTTCTTATTATGTTCTGCAGGTGGTAGTTTGGCTTCCAATGTGCAGACCTGTCAAACGGAGCTGGAGCGATTCCATATCCACAAAACCAAACTGACAGAGGTAGAAACATTTTCGATCTGTTTGTATCATTCACCTCGCTTAATTTAGCATTACCTATATTCATGCAGACTAACCACTTTGGATTTAGGTAAACTAAACTCTGAGGGCGCCCACTCCAGGTAGCCTGCCTATTATAAAAAAAAAAGATCCCATGATGCTTTTTTTCATCCTTCAATACTGTAATGGAATTGTATTGATGATCATATAGATAGATAGACTTGAAACTGGTCACATGTAATATCACAGCCAAAGGTTAGATACTTATAGTTAATAATTTAGTCAATTTAGCACTGCAGCTCCAGAGATGTATTGAACATAATAGAGGGCTTTTAGGGAATTCATGTCAGAATCAAGAGTCAGGATAAAGGGTGGCATATTTATTATATTAATAAAATGACTGGCCATGACATTAAATTGACAATATCTAACAATACATTAGTTTTTCTCTTCCAGAACATTCTCTTAAAAGCATTAATTCATTTCCCATGGAGGAAAAAAAAAAAGAATTAAAATCACACACAGCCTCCCTTTAATGGTTTATTGCACTGCCAAGAGCTTTACACCAGTTCAGCCAGTTTTGAGGATTAACTGTATTTGCTCACATCACATCCAGGAGACATAAAAGGTGTTTGGAGGCAGTCGTATATTTATTTTTCCGCCCTTCCTCCTCCATCTCTCTATAAAGGGACGTCCAAGTCTGTGAAGTGCAACACAGCCACCCCGTCCGAACAGCGAGGTCTTTATACCCGACTGCACTGAAAAAAAGTCTCCACATCTGGTACTGCTTTCCTGCTCCAGACAGACAGACTGTGGGGAGGGTGGAGGAACATGTGGGGAGGGGTGTTTGATTGCGTAAGAGGCATCACATGTAAGCATTAATGATGCAGTCACATTTGGGACTCGGAAACTGTTAAAGAGAAGATAAATTGTCCTCTTCATTAAGTTTTATTTGTGGAAAACAGTCATAGACTCTCCTATTAACTATAAACACACTAATTTGTAACCATTTTGTGGTGAAAGTAGATCATAGATGTTGTAATGTGCTTCCAAAGACCAGAGTGTAGCTTAGCGGTGCAGTATTTCCACTTATCATCTTTATAAAGGTTTAGAAACTTGTTAGAAGTTGAGGAAATATTCGTACCATGCTGTATTTAAGTTCTGGAAAGATCTACCGTTTGGAAAAAGATGTCGACTCAGCCAAGGTGTATAGGGTCATGGTGGAGTTTCTGTGCCTCTTAATGAGCTTCCTGCAATTAGATTTTCCAGCGTAATTTAATTCAATTCAATTCAATTCAATTTTATTTATATAGCGCCAAATCACAACAACAGTTATCTCACAGCGCTTTTCATAAAAGAGCAGGTCTAGACCGTACTCTGTGATGATATTTACAGAAGCCCAACAGTTCCCACCAAGAGCAAGCACTAGGCGACAGAGGCAAGGAAAAACTTCCTTTTAAGAGGCAGAAACCTCGAGCAGAACCATGGCTCAGGGTGGGCGGCCATCTGCCTCGACCGGTTGGGGTGAGAGAGAGAGAGAGAGAGAGAGAGAGAGAGAGAGAGAGAGAGAGAGAGAGAGAGAGAGAGAGAGAGAGAGAGGGATGTAAGGAGAGAGAGAGGGGAGGGAGGCAGCCTACACAATATACACACAGAGGTACAGACAGCGAAGGTAATGTTGCTATAACTAAATGAAAAATGGTACAGATATTTATAATAGTGTTAATGGTAACCATCGTAATGTTAATGATTATAATAACAATAAGACTAGCAACAATAGTCGTTGCAGTAGAGGGTGTCGAGCAGGAACACGGGGGCAGCAGGCGACCCGCAGCCACAGATCCAGACTCCACAGCTCCAGAGCCAGAAAACCTGCAGGAAGTGATAGGAGGAGAGAGGAGAGGGACGAGAAAGCACAAGACTACCAGAAAGGGGAGAAGTTGTGTTAGTAACATGCAATAATGGGATAAGGTTGCATACAGAGGGAGAGAAAGTAGAGGAGAGAGGAGCTCAGTGCATCATGGGAAATCCCCCGGCAGTCTAGGCCTATAGCAGCATAACTAAGGGATGGTTCAGGACTACCTGAGCCAGCCCTAACTATAAGCTTTATCAAAGAGGAAAGTCTTAAGCCTACTCTTAAATGTGGAGATGGTGTCTGCCTCCTGAACCCAAACTGGAACCTGGTTCCACAGGAGAGGAGCTTGATAGCTGAACGCTCTGGCTCCTAGTCTACTTTTGGAGACTCTAGGAACCACAAGTAACCCTGCATTCTGGGAGCGCAGTGCTCTGGTGGGGTAGTAAGGTACTATGAGCTCTTTAAGATAAGATGGTGCCTGACCATTAAGAGCTTTGTAGGTAAGAAGAATGATTTTAAATTCTATTCTGGATTTTACTGGAAGCCAATGCAAAGAAGCTAAAACAGGAGAAATGTGATCTCTTTTCCTGGTTCCTGTCAGAACACGTGCTGCAGCATTCTGGATCAGCTGAAGAGTCTTAATGGACTTTTTCGAGCAGCCTGATAATAAGGAATTGCAGTAATCCAGCCTAGAAGTAACAAATGCATGGACTAGTTTTTCTGCATCATTTTTAGACAGGATGTTCCTGATTTTCGCAATATTACGTAGGTGAAAAAAGGCGGTCCTTGAAATTTGCTTAATGTGAGACTTAAACGACATGTCCTGATCAAAGATAACTCCAAGATTCCTCACAGTGGTGCTGGAGGCCAAGGCGATGCCATCCAGGGAAACTATATCTTTAGATAATGCGTCACGGAGGTGCTTAGGCCCCAGAACAATAACTTCAGTTTTATCTGAGTTTAACATAGAAAATTACAGGTCATCCAGGTTTTAACATCCTGAAGGCACATTTGAAGTTTAGCTAACTGATGAGTTTCATCTGGCTTGATCGATAGATATAACTGAGTATCATCTGCATAACAATGAAAGCTTATGGAATGTTTCCTGATAATATTGCCTAAAGGAAGCATATATAAAGTGAAGAGGATTGGTCCAAGGACAGATCCTTGAGGAACTCCATGAGTAACTTTGGCGTGCATGGAGGACTCATCGTTAACATGTACAAACTGAAATCGATCTGATAAATAGGACTTAAACCAGCTTAGAGCGGTTCCTTTAATGCCAATGAAATATTCCAGTCTCTGCAATAGGATCTGATGGTCAATGGTATCAAATGCAGCACTAAGATCTAATAAAACCAGTACAGAGACAAGTCCTTTGTCTGATGCAATAAGGAGGTCATTAGTAATTTTCACCAGTGCTGTCTCTGTGCTATGATGAGCTCTAAATCCTGACTGAAAATCCTCAAATAAACTATTGCTCTGTAGAAAGTCACACAGCTGTTTAGCAACTGCTTTCTCCAGAACCTTAGAGAGAAATGGAAGGTTAGATATAGGTCTATAGTTGGCTAAAACATCCGGATCAAGTTTGGGCTTTTTCAGAAGAGGTTTAATTACAGCTACTTTAAAGTACTGTGGTACATAGCCTGTTGATAAAGATAGATTGATCATATCTAGTATAGAGGTGCTGACTAAGGGTAAAACATCTTTAAGCAGCCTAGTCGGGATGGGGTCTAAGAGGCAGGTTGATGGTTTAGATGAAGAAATTATTGAAGTTAGTTGGTAAAGATTGAGGGAAGCAAAACAGTCTAAACATGTATCTGGTTCTACAGCTGTTTCTAAGGTTCCTGAGTTAAGAGATAAGTCGGTGCCATTGAGGGCAGGTCTTGGTGAATTTTGTCTCTAATAGCTAGAATTTTATCATTAAAGAAGCTCATGAAGTCGTAACTACTGAGAGCTATGGGAATACTTGGCTCAATAGAGCTGTGACTCTCTGTCAGCCTGGCTACAGTGCTGAAAAGAAACCTGGGGTTGTTCCTATTTTCCTCTATTAATGACGAGTAGTACGCTGCTCTGGCATTACGGAGGGCCTTCCTATAAGTTTTAAGACTATCTTGCCAAATTAAACGAGAATTTTCCACTTTGGTGGAACGCCAATTCCTCTCAAGTTTCCGTGATATTTGCTTTAATTTGCGAGTTTCAGTATTATACCATGGAGCTAACCGTCTTTGTTTTAGTATTTTCTTTTTTAGAGGGGCTACAGAGTCGAGTGTCATTCGCAGCGAGCCTGCAGCACTATCAACAAGATGATCGATTTGGGAGGGACTGAAATTAGCATAGGAGTCCTCCGTTACTTTGTGACTAGATAATGTATTTAGAGCTGATGGAATCGCATCCTTAAATTTAGCTATAGCACTATCAGACAGACATCTTGTATAGAAATTTTTGCCCAATGGCGAGTAGTTCAGCAATACAAACTCAAAAGTTATCAAACAGTGGTCGGATAAAGAGGGATTCTGTGGGAACACCACTAAATGTTCAATTTCAATACCATACACCAAAACAAGGTCGAGGGTGTGGTTAAAACAGTGAGTCGGTTCATGAACACTCTGAGAGAAGCCGATGGAATCTAACAAGAGATAAACGCAGTACTGAAGCTGTCATTCTCAACATCACATGAATATTAAAATCCCCTACAATAATAACTTTGTCCGTTTTAAGGACTAAAGTTGACAAAAACTCTGCAAATTCAGATAAGAATTCAGAATACGGGCCAGGTGCTCGGTACACTATAACAAAAAGAATTGGTTGCAGTGATTTCCAACTTGGGTGCGAAAGACTAAGAACAAGACTTTCAAATGAGTTATAGTTTAGTTTAGGTTTAGAGCTGATTAATAGGCTAGAGTCGAAGATAGCTGCAACTCCACCTCCTCGGCCTGTGCCTCGAGGAATGTGAGTATTAATATGACTGGGAGGGGTGGATTCATTTAGGCTAACATATTCTCCATCACCCAGCCAGGTTTCAGTAAGACCAAATAAATCAATATCATAATCTGATATTAGTTCATTTACTAGTACACCTTTAGAAGAGAGAGATCTGATGTTTAAGAGTCCACATTTAACTCTCCTATTCGTTTGCACTATTGCTCTTGTGGTTTTAATTTTTATGAGGTTTTTATGCACAGCTCCTCTTCTGTTTACCTTTTTAAATAATTTCGATGGTCGGGGGACAGACACCGTCACTATAGGTTTTCACTAAGTAACTCCTGAAATGGAGGAGCAGAGAAGTGTGTTAGACTGCGACTCTGCGTAGGGTTTTGGGTGGGTAACTGCTGAAAAAGAAGGGCAGAGAAGTGTGTTAAACTGCGACTCTGCCTCCTGGTCTCAACTCTGGGTTGTCATGGATTTGGTCCACTAATAAACTTGGCCAGATTTCTAGAAATGAGAGCTGCTCCTTCCCAAGTGGGATGGATGCCGTCTCTCCGGATCAGACCAGGTCTTCCCCAGAAAGTCTGCCAATGATCAACAAAGCCCACATGACACCATCTCTCCGAGACATCTTATATTGTTTTCTGTCAGCGTTTAGTCTTCCACCATACCCTCTTTTTGCATCCTTGGTATAAATTTCCGCCTTAATTTAATATTGAAAGAGTTTTCCACAGAGTTTCACAGTTTTAAAAAAATTATTGCTGACATAAATATGATGTTTCTCTTTAAAACTTTGACAACACACTCATAACTAAACAATAGTTGTGACACAAAAAGTGTGCTCCTGAAGGCACACAGGCCAAGTACCTGAATATTTACATACTTACCTGTCAAATACACGTGTGTGTGTGTGTGTGTGTGTGTGTGTGTGTGTGTGTGTGTGTGTGTGTGTGTGTGTGTGTGTGTGTGTGTGTGTGTGTGTGTGTGTGTGTGTGTGTTTTATTAACACTGTGTAAATATTGTAAAATCCAAGTACAAACATCATGACCAAGGTTTTAATCTCTCCACCCATCAGCATCATAATGTCTGACATACCTAACAACTAGGAGTGGTTACTTTGACTTCTAAGCTCAAAGGAAATGATTTAACCTTGTGATTCTGTTGGTAATCCACCCTCCAGTGCAAAATCCACTCTAGACACTCAGTTTGTTCAGTTACATTCCTCTTTTGTTTGATAATTGCTCTAGAATTTGTAGCATTTTGTGTTAAAAGCCAATTTTTTTTTCTGTAAGGTTGTCTAATAATTCATGTGACTTTTTATGGACACTTCACATGCACAACTGTTAAGGCAGCTTGTTGACCTTAACATGGGCGTTCCTGTCCCGTCTTACAGTGCAACATTCTGTCTAGGTATGAAGTTATCAGTCAGGCTGTGAGACATTCTTGTTGAGACAAAGGCAGCTACTGTTTAGCTAACACTTGAAATTTTGTGATGACAAGTTGTATAATGATGGGGTATAACAGAAAAGGAAGAAGAGGTTTCTTCCCAGTGCACACCTCTCTGTTATCTGCACCGTCGCTTCCACCTCCCAGACCACTTTCACTGGAAATCAAACCCAGCATCAGCAGGCAGAGCGTGGCGGGCAGAGAGCAGAGGGTGTGTGCTCATCTTATCGTTTTCAAGCATCAGTGTGGCATTGGTGATGAATGTTGAGAGATAAGAAAAGTCTTGCTGGTGTTTTTCATGTGTCTCTAGCTTTGCAGCACAGACCGGTTTCTACCTGACAGAAGAGCAAGTATACATGATCAGGCTCTTTTTTTAAAGATCACAGAAATGGATATAAATCTTAAAGTTTTATAGTGCTCTGAAGTTTTATGGGGAACTAAGGCTGTTGAAAAATGACAGCATCTAATTACTGATTGTCAGTAGTGGAGGAAGTATTTAGATCCTTTACTTAATACCACACTGGGAAAATCATCTATTGCATGTACTAGTCCTGCATTCAAAACCTTACTTAAGTATCATCATCATCACTGTCAGTGTTTTACTATCACTATGATGTTTATGGATTAATATTACCGCTGCATTTATGTGTATTTTGCATTTTACTGCCATAGATGTTTGAGGTTGAGCTAATTTATTTACTGTGGAGTAGTTGAATCTACAGCAATGCATAATATTCTTTAAGGTCATCATATATTTGTAGATCGCTCTCCTGTGAGAACCACCACCATGAGCTCAGCTTTTCAGAAAACAGCCCAGTTTTCAACTTTGTGACGATGCATTTTCCTGCTGATCCAAGGCTGATTTTTAAATAGTTAATTTAGCTTAAGAAGTTTCAACATACAAAGAAAACATCAGCATTGCTCACATCTAGAGATCAAACCCCACACTCATGGGACATAAAAAAACACTTAATTGCTTCCTCTCTTCTAACCCCTCTCCCTCTCTTAAAAGTGTGCTCTCTGTTAATTTACAACATGGTCACTTTTTCCACAGAACTTGTATGTAGAAGTGAGGAAAAACCAGTCTGACCTAAACGGCAACCTTAAAGGTGAGTAAAGACTTACATGCATCACACGGACATTGCTCTATTTATTATTAACAGGCTTGATGATTATTGTGTAGATTTTGTGTATTAAAGTTTTGACACAAAAGCTTTAATAGGCCGCCTCCCTTTTTCAGATGTGTCTCATTTCGTTAAGGGAATAATGAAATAAAAACACATCTGTTTTATATTTGTGTGGGAAAGTTTTGACCCTTGAATGAACAGCTTTCAGTTAGTTTCCTCTCTGTTGCCAAACATTTATTGAAAACAGAGCTTAGAAATTAATTACAAAGGCATAGTATTTTAACACAGTAATCATAGTCACAGTCAGGCTACTGGATAGTGATATTTACAGTGAAGCTCTGTGTGTTGTTTAGTGGTTCTGCCACCAAAGAAGACACCTGACAGAGGTAAAAGCAACCACTTCCAGGTCAATAAACAGACAAAGAAGAGGAACAGCCATGCTGGTGTAAGTGTTTCCCTCCATATCTCTGACTAATCTACAGTGAATTTGCAAATCATGTTTGTAATTTCCAAACAACTTTAAGTAACAGATGGGGATTTTAGTGTGTCTGGATAATTATAGTTCTGAATTTTGTGAATTTTTTAAGCTCTGTGGCGCTTTCTGCAAAGTCACACATCTGATACTAATCAACAAGGGATTTTTAAAACTATTGATTTTGGTTTGGGGTCAACCCACACCATATAAATTACAGCAGTAATACACTTGTTTTTGTGACAATATATGCACATACAGGTCAACGACTGTACCATGGGGCTTGATGAGGACACTCAGCAGGAGTGGGTGTTCACACTGTACAACTTCAACAGCAGTGGCAATGTCATCAAAGAGGTAGGTTTCACACATATTGTTTAAATAAAGTACTGTCTGAAGTAGCTTGCTTTGTCCACAGTGTGTGTGTGTGGGTCTGCAGGACATTTCCAGTCTGATGCACTCCATGTATGAGGTTCTAGAGGCATCATTGGAGCAGCCGTGTGGTGGCACCGCACCCTTGAAGATAAAGCTAGTTGTTACTGCGTCTGCTGACCCAGTAAAGACCTCACAAATAGGTAAAATGCCATTATAATTGTGGATCTAGGAACCATAGGCATAACTTGTGGGGAAAACATGGGGGCAGACTGAGAGTCTGGCTGAAACGTTTCTGAACAGTGGGATTTTAGTTTAACACCAAACCACCAATGCTGCTGTCATGATAACATCCCTCTCTCATTGAAAACAAAAGTTGAAAAGGAGCAGAGTGCGTCTCAGGAGCCAGGAACCCCTGTAAGAAGACTTTATTGCATGGATGAAAACATGGAGCGCAGGAACCACTACCTGGATCTAGCTGGCATTGAAAACTATACCTCAAAGTTTGACAATACAGGTATAGAAACTCCACTATTGCTTCATTTCATGAACTGTTACATTTCTTCCTTTGGAAATACATAACATTAAAGGTGTTTCTTCTTTTTTCCAGAATCTCCCTCTCAGGAGCCCAGAGAGGATACTCCTCAGCATCATCCTGTGGTGAACATAGAGAACTGCATCTCCCCTGAGCCTCCTAGAGGCCTCTCTAACCCTCATTTCCTGAAGCGTAAGGCCATGTCGGTGGGGAAAGATAGGAATGCAGGACAGAGAAGGTCCTGCAGGCTACACGGCCAGCACCCGGCTTCATGGTGCCATCCTTCTTCGCCTCAACCTCAGGCACAGCGTACTCACAGCAGAAGGCTTCGCTCCAGGGCACTAGAGGCTTCCTCACACATAAGACCCACACAAGGGGGAGACAGGGAACTTCCAACTTCCAACCTTCAGCCCTCCTGTGGGGCTCAGGCATCTCCAGCCCAGAGACACGAGCACCATCACCACCATGACCATCATCATCATCATCATCACCATCACTACCACCCTTCATAAATGCATTTTAAACACATGTGGGACAGGTGAGAAGAGTTGGTGTCCTCTGCTGAACTGATTTATACCCATAAATCAGTTCAGCAGAGGACACCAACTCTTTTGGAGGTTTGGAGGTGAAATGCCACTCAGTAGGTCCTTGAATCACCTCATTTAAATTATATTCAGTGTGTGTTGGAATCAGGTTATGGCACTGTTATCTAATGCAAACAAACCCTAAACGATTACCTACTGTAGATCCAGAAAGGCCAGTTCATTGTTAACTGAATGCTACTTTTATAGCCATTTAGATTGACAGGTTAATCTCAGGTAGATTTCCACTTAAGCTTCAAATGTATTTAAATGCGCTCTTTGTAGAGCTACATGTCTGCATTTTAACCTAAAGCATGACTTTTGTATATTAACAATGTGTTTTTTCTGTTTGGATAAAATAATGTAGAAATGGAAATACAGAATGTCTTTAATGAAACTGTTTTGTTTATTCTGTCACCTATTTATTTCCTGACCAAATATGTGTACCATGGAACAAAGAATATAATGGCATTGAATTATTTCACAGTTGATAGTTCAAGAAAGAGCCTTAGGGGACTGGATAAGGATTGAAAAATCTAGTCCTGTGTGCTTGAAATTACAATAAATCACTTCTCAGTTGATAGTCGGTATTACAAAAACACTCAAAGTCCACGCTTTTTTTCTACTTTCTTTTATGTGGTTTTACTTAACAGCAAGACATTCAATGGAGACAAGATTCCCAACTGTTTGCAATGTGTTTTTTCAGCATGCTCTCAGTGGCCCGATACAGACATGGTAAAGTTCATAATGTATTAGGTGTCTTAAAAAGCAGTAAACATGGGGTTGTTTTTAGCATCCACATCTGCACCAACGTTTAAATCAGGAGAAATCCATCTTGGAAGAGGCAGAGTTACCCATGTTTCCACTGACCGAAGCCTCATTAGACCTTAATGCTTTGAAACCCTGTGACATGTTGTAAATTCATAGTGGCAAAAGCCATTTACTGAGGCAGGGCTGGAAAAAATGGATTTACCAAAAAGTAAATAACAGCACTTAATTGTAAACTTCCTTATCGAATGCATTACACATTGTAAAGTGATGATGTTTCTGTTGTACAGATTTAATTGTTCCTTTATTGTTCTATTTCTGATCTCACAAATTGTTTTCTTTGGTTTAATGTGTGCAGCATAGGCCTCACAAAGACGTGTTGTGAATGGTGGCATTCAAATATTGTTCCTACTTATCTCTCTGGCAAAAGTTCAGATAGACACCGTACCCAGCGATGGACGTGAGACAGCTGTTCCTATTAATAGCCTCTACTCTCTTACCCTACCACAAGACCCCCGTCCCTTGCTCCTGCTTCACAATAACAAGCCTGACCCCAGACAAATGCACAACACCCAGACAGACTGCAACAGAGGAAATCAACAAAGCAGCGACCATTGAAGAGCCACAACACTTGACACGCAGAGCTGTTTGGCTGCAGCGCTCAACAACAACCAGGCAACCCACAGACCAGTTGGAACAAGAAAACACCAGGGGGGAAAAAACTCCAAACATGAAGTCACTGCGATTCATTGCAGCTGAGGGTTTCATCCAGAGGGCCAAGTGCTCTGGAGGAACTCAACTGTGTGTCTTTTAACCTCTACCCACTTCTCTTTAAGGCCTGCTACCTGCATGAGCAGGCTGACATGCTGCATGTTTTGGTCCAAGCATGGCCTCTTCCTGAGCTTAACCTACACAGGATCCTGGGAAAGACATTTGACTGTCAGATGGACCTCACCTCCCGCACCTGCCGGCTTTGTCTGGTTGCGATCCTAACTGGCTTAAAGGTAATTAAATAGTCTGGAGTGTAGTGTGTCTTATCATATTCATGCCATGCTCATGTTTTAGTTGCATTTTTCTTTGATCGTTGTTATACTTGTGGCCTAACTGGCTTAAGCAAAACTGATTTGGCTTACAATTATCATAAATTATTATAGATTGATAAGACAGTCACATCAAAACACTTATTTGACACACATTATTTCCCCTTGTTTTCTAAAGGATTATGTGCTGTCTCCTCCAAGAACCTATGCCAAGAGACTCCATGTGGTTGACCTTACTGCCCTGAAGGATATTGAGCACCAGTCTTGCCCCTGCCAGTCCACCCTGGGTCGATGGGCAAGGACCCAACTCTTGACCCAAATGTGCTATGAGACCACGGTGGCCATGCAAGCTGCCAGTGTGTCCCGATCTGCCTTTGACACATCTATTGACATCCGTCTGAACGGCTTCATCACAGGCCGCAACTATGAGTTGGTGGCTCAGGCCCTCCTCCTCCTCCGCTACTGTCCACTGAAGCTTCGGTTCGTTAGTTTCCGGGCTGATTCCCTCGCTCTCAAGCAGTTGTTCTATGTCCTTCGCCTAGCAGAACCTGAGTCCATCTTAAAGCTGGAGTTCGTCCACAATGTTCCCCTGGAGGCCACGCACTTGGAGGTGCTGCTGTCCAGGGTGAAATTCCCCAAATTACAGTCACTGGCCCTGCCGGCAGGGGCGTTGGATGTTAGAAGGTTGGGCTCTGATGATGAGGACCTGCTGGCCACCATCGGCAATCTGCTGGCTCAACTGAGCAGCCTGACTGAGCTCTATGTTAGTTTCTCCACTCTAACTGGACACATACGAAGGCTACTTAGGTGAGTAAATGGACAGGGGAGGACAACAAAGAGTCTCTGTTTGTGTATGTATCTATGTGAATGAGGTGATGGGTGGCTCTGATCTCAGTCTTACGTGCACTTTGCAGCATCAAGAGCTTTAATATAGCTCACCATAATCGCCTCTAGCACCACAGCACATTCCAGCTTTAAGGGTCTTGTTTAACAATGGGAGGTTTTGTTGTTAAAATTGCTGACATGCTGCCAGCCTGAGGACAAACGGCTGCAGGTTAGCCAGAAACCTGCTTGATGGAATTCAAATGGAAAAACAGGAGCATGGAGCAAACAGCTGTAGATTAAAATCTGGCATATCATTTAAACAATTGTTATAATAAAACAAATATTGCCAAATTAATATAAACAAGGACATTAGTTTGGGGATTTAAGAATTTATCCCAATGCTTACCAGACAAGAGTAATCCTTGATCCAAAAATGGATGATGGCATCAACTTTTGGTATTTGGTTTCCACATTTTAGAATTTCTGGCACCACTCCTACATGACAAATCCTACCTGAGGACTAACACAAACCATAGCAAGTGTCTGCCTGCTGTTAACTACATAATAATGTACAATTGTGTTTTCATTTCGAGTACCATTGACCTTTTATACCACAAAATTTCCT